AATAATAAACTTTTTTCGACATAAAGTACTAAAAAATAATAGTTACTATGACAAAACAATTTTTATAGGAATCACAACCCAAATGAAGCTCTGACAAAAATACTATTATTCAATCTTTTTAAATATGAATATAATTTTATTTTATAAATTCTTATACGTTATTACCGGAGAAGGATCATATCAGTTATTTCGCTATTTTAATTCTTTCTCCTTGGCACAGATTACAGTTCGAGATACGAGTTAAATAATTCTGGCACTAGCAAGTAAAACATTACTTTAGCAATTATAATCTTAGATTGATTTAAATTCTTTTTAGCATTAATAAAAAATAGCATCAGCCTTGGTTTTCTCTTTCTTCATGTTTAATTTAGAAAAGATGAAAGTTAAAAAAAAAAAAGTAGGAAAAAGAAGAAGAAAAAAACTGATCATGAATCGACCACTCAGTAGTATATTATAGTCGGGGCCTCCCTGGCCGAGCGGTATCGCCGGTCCAAACGCTCTGTTAAGCGTGGAGGTAGCGGGTTCGAATCCCGCCGTAACCCTGGATATATTCTTTGTGATGTCTTTCTCTGAATTGTTCTATCTGTATTTTCTACTTGACAATGACTTATAAGCCTATATTGAGCACACAAGTCAGCAAATGTATGTAATTTCAATAAATCAAATCAATATATTATAGTACCAATAATATGTATAAAATGTATTTGATGATAAAGAGAACTTGGTGCATTATTTGAAAACAAGAAAATTATATTGAATTTGACAGGCTTTTCATTATACATAACAGCATATGAGCGATACCACGGTTTTGTTTTGCACGTGATTCAAACAATTGGGTATACTATAGCCTACGTCACAGATCTACTAAATTCCTACTAAATTTAACTAATAAACAGCATTTTCTGCGAACCTGATTTCTAGCAACAAGTAAAAGCATCAAACGAAGTGTCTTGTTATAAGTCGCTACTCGCCAGGTTGAAATTGTATTAGTCTAGTTCCTTTGGAAATAATTTATATTGTTGTTTTACCGAAGTTTATGAATTTAGTAAGCATATTTAAAACTCAGTTTATTAATTAAACTAAAAGGTAAATGTTATTCCTAGTAAGTGGAAGTAGTTGTGCTTTTTTCATATTATACCCAATTAATATATTTGTCGCAAAAAAAAAGTTTTTGCAAATATATATCTATGCCTCATATATTTTTGTGGCAAATGTAAATACATAAACTTAGTTTTATTCATATTCATAACATGCAAAATAAAAATCATGCGTTCTGATTGTCTCCTGACATGTTATCGCATATATGTTGTATTTCCTCTTAGTTTTGTTAAAAACAGAATAATATAAATCTTACATAAAAATTATGGATACCACCAGGAACACTCTTGAAAATTACTTTTTGACATTCTTGAATATTACTCATTCGTAGCAAAACATACATCAGCACTCATACACAAAAATCCACACACAAAAGAAATTTATCTACTTTATTTTGATTATAGAAGAGTGCGACGCGCTCTTTGTGTTAACTTATAGCTCTATAATTCCTTATTTTACTTTATTTTATTGGTACACATACATGCGGGCTGGAGTAGTCAGTTACATAAGTACGGCTTATAAGACTTTGTCATGTAGAAAGAAAGATAGCACAATTCAGAGAAAGACAGCACGAAGATACATCTAGGGTCTCGTTGGGATTAGAACCTCCACGCTACAAAAGCGTTTAGAGGGCGACATCACTCGGCCTCTAAAAAATGTTTGTACCAAAAACTTGGTAATTGGTACTTTATTTACGTCGCATTAGAATTGCACAATGGGATATTAGCAACGGCCTGGGAAACATCCCTGAGAACAATCCGAAGACATGCCATCGCAATTTTGATCCTCTGCACAATTTAGACATAGATGTGACGGGGAAGGAAATTTTCCCCAGACTCCTGTACCTATGGTGGGTCTCATCAACCGACCACAGGACTTTCGATTACAGAGATTTTACAACCGCGTAAATCGCATTTACTCGGTGGGTCTTAGCGGAGTCGAGGATCGAATCTCTGCCCCTCCGGACTGGAGTCCGATTCTATAACCACTGAGCCACCACGGCCTTTAAACTAAAAACTGTACTATACTGTACTTTATTTACGTCGCACTAGAGCGGCACAATGGTCTATTGATGATGGTCTGGGAAACATCCCTGAGGATGATCCGAGGACATGCCATCGCAATTTTGATCCTCCGCAGAAGGGATGGCTCGCCTGTTTTGGTAGCCCGACGACTTGCGAGCGATGTCGAACCCTTTACGGTCGAACAGTTTTTGAACCGAAATTAGATGATGATGCTCTACGGATAGAAAACTTAAAATTAAACTGGATAAAAGCACACTGTGGTACTAGAGACAACGAGGCTACCGACCGACTTGCAAAACTCGCCTGTCAAATATCGATAATAGATCAATGAAATTCTAATTGAGAAAACAATAAAAAAAACTATACTAGACCGAGAAAAATACACGAGGCAAAATAATTGGCACAATCCTGAAATAAAAAGCCATCCATCTCACAGCTAATACCAAAGATCAACCTTAAAACAAAAACTTATGGTAACTTTTAAATGAGCCAATTTCTGACAAACCATGCCTCGCACGCATCTCCTTCAAGACAGATTATTTAACAAACCCAACCTATGCAATACTTGTAATACTATCAAAGAATACGTGCAACTCAGATGTAAGAAAAATAATAATTGAAGATGAGAGGAAAAATCACTTCCCAAGCAAATCTTATTTTTGACAATCCCGAAACATTTTGGACATAATAGAGACAAGACATAATAGAGTATTTAAAACCAATTAGATTGATCAATATCTAAAAGAAACTTTTTTTTTTGATATCTTCAGAATTTTGCCGTTGTGATACAGGGGAAATTTTACCCATAGTATTTGATATTCAGTATTTGTAACTGAAAGCTAGAATTATGTGAAACATTTTGATTTAAATTTATTGACCCATTGATTATGGTAAATTAAATCTATTAGAGTACAAATAAAATAAAAGACTGCTCCTGGGCTGCAAGGTTTAGGTTAGGAGTTCTGCTGTAAGTTGCTCATCCGATACCTATTCCTTACATTCCTTACATCTAATACTCGTATTTGCTTAGAAATCGAATTTTAAACATCTGACTTATTTGAAATTTAGTTTCTCAGGAACTAATCAAACGATTTTGTTAAAATGTTGTATTTTGCCATGTGAAATCTTTAAAATGATGCAAAATATTTATACCTTTTACAATTCAAAATTTTCTTTCGACTATCGTTAAATAAAATAATAAAAAAATAATAATTATTATTTTTTGCTTGGAATTACCTTTAAATAACCGTATTATATAATTGTTTGCAAAAACTTTTTCAATTCGCTTTAAAAGTTCTCGAGATATGACGAAATACGCAAAAAGTAAAATTAACATTAAGGGGTCCAAACTTTGGAGCGTTTGCCTGACCAAACTATGGAGACCATATTTCCCAGATTGTGGCTACCCCCTATACATTTTGGGGGTCAGAAATCCAAATTAGTCAACAACAAAACGTTTTTATTCAGAGAAAATACGTTTTCGTATCTGATTTCGTACTTAAAATATCGTCTGCACTTTGTAAGTAGCATGTTCGAGGTCACCCCCTCGAATAATTAAGATTGAGTCCTAGAACGTGAAGATATAATCATTAGATCAAAAGTTATTCAGGGTGATCCGTTTTTCATTCCTTTTACACACTGTACAGATTCAGCTCTATGTGAAAGCGAACCTCTTCTCCACAAAAGTTAAAAATGAAGATGGAAATAAAAATGATTATATCTTATCTGAGAGCTTTTAATGCCAGACATAGCTTATAATGCAAGTTTAAGAGAGAAAAAAAAAGACAGCTGGAAATGTGTAATTAAAAACTAGATATAGCATTTGATTCCATATTTTAAACTTCTCTCAGAAGTAGTTTTTTTTTAAAGAATAAATTAATGAAGCCTGAAAAATTCTTATGTTTTGTCGCAAATTTTCATAAACCATAAACTTCGAAATCAAGGATTTCACTCATTATAATTACGCCCAGTGTTTATGTAAGTAAGGAAAAACACGAAACTTCAATCTTAATTTACTAAATAAATTTGGTTTGGATATTGAAACAGTTCAAATTGTTGTGTCCATTTACTTAGACATGTATTATGAACTGTGTTCATTTTCTAAAATACGTTTTTCCAGATGTAGTTTTTAATAAAGACGTATTTTGAAGCTATGATCAAAATAAAAAGCTCACAGATTTCCTATTTGTTTTAAATACTTACTTTGGAATATATATTATTGGATAAATGCATTCTTCAATAGTATTCTAGGAAACAATCCTCATAATAGGATAAATCCCAAAAAACTCACAAGGTGATCCCAGTAAATTTTTTAACTAAAAACCCGAACGTGTGGCTGAAGAGTTATTATTCTCCAGTTTTTGAAGGATTTAACTTAATATAGTGAAGTTAAAGCGTTCATTAACAAAGTTTACCTTTTGCGCTTACGACTGGTTCAATAACAGGCTTCATAGTGATGTAAGTGCCATATGAAAACAAAAAGTACTAGTTCTCATCGAATTTGAATAAAACAGATTAGAGTAAGCTATATCTTTATGCTTAGTCTAGTTGGAAAAAGCTTTTTGCTTAAAAAATTCTTATGAATTTTTATTGAAAGTTAAATTAAAAGTGGTTAATATTGTGTGTCAAGATTAAATTTTCAGCAGTATTGATCATTCTCAAAAATGGATCAAATGGGGAAAAATTAACTTGCCTTTTGTTGAATCTGAAAATAAATATTTGTTGAATTTGAAAATAGAATACGAATAATTTAAAAGTTTACATCAATCATAAAATAACGTGTCACTCGATTCAGACTTTAAACTTTAAACAAAAGGTTTGAACTATATTTGACATTAATATAATGTAATTTGACAAGTATTAGATATATGACATTAATGAAGCAAGGTTCGAAACACTTTATTACTTTTTTTTATAGTTTACTACAGATTTGGGCATTAATTAAAAACAATTAAAAATACACAAAGGGTAAAAGTTGTAAAACCATCACATTGATTCAAGAGAACAACCGTCCAGCGTGTTCTTTATCAGTTGTGGTAAAGGCAAACTTCGTTTCTTTGATGTGATGCAGTTCCGCTATAAGGGGCACTGAAAGAAGACGGCGCTGCAGTCTCCGATGGTAGTGCCATCTATCAGAGCTTGCGAGAAATCATCAAGATCAAATGTGCTGCAAACAATTATGAAAATCGCATGAATTTATGAAAAATTATAACATATAAGTCGGATACTTTTTGGAAGCTGGCATATTTAGGAAGTTGAGCCCGTATTTATTTAAAAACAAAATTCCCGAAGGTTTAAAAAATAAGCTAAACAAAATTCTTCATGATAATCGTTGTGTTTGTTCCTACTTTATTACGAAGGAACTTGACACAACTTCTCGATATACAGTTTTCTAACAATTTATAATCCATAAACTGCTATTTCATTTTTAAAAAAAATAACGAAAACTTTCAGAAAAGTTTCACAAAGAAAACCCCTCTACAAATATTTTTCAAATTGATATTTTTAGCCAAAAAAAAACATAATTAAATGATTAAGTCTTAAATAATTTTTTATGAAACTAATATTTTTGCAGTTTTCTTGTTGTTCAATATCATTTAAAAGTAAGTTTTTTACTAATTTTTGACTTGTTCAATGCGAATCAATTTTAAATAAAGCATTTGTATATCACATCAATAAAATGAAGTAGTAGTTGTTGTAGTTCATTTACGTCGCACTAGAGCTGCACAATGGGCTCTATTGGTGACGGTCTGGGAAACCTCCCATGAGGATGATCCGAAAAGATGCCATCACAATTTTGATCCTCTGCAGAGGGAATGGCACCCCCGCTTCGGTAGCCCGACGACCAGCACGTGAAGTCGAGCACTTTACGGTACAACAGTTTAACGAGGACCCATACCGCACACCCTCGATCCCTACGCAGACTGATCCAAGTGGTCACCCACCCGCACACTGACCGTAGCCAGTGGTGCTTAACTACGGTGATCTGCTGGGAACCGTGTCTTAACGATCAGTCCACTGCGGGACTCAATAAAATGTAATACTGGTGCAAACTTACGTTATTTTAATTATCAAAATTACCAAGGTGTGCCTGTGTATGGGGGTATATCTATGTATCTTTCATAAATTTAATTTTTCAATTCTACTTCATTTAAACTAAACCTTCAATTTTTTTTGATGATTCAATCTAACTTGTGATTGATAAATTCGTTTAAAGAAATTGATTTCTCATGCTTTATAGACTCGAAAAATAAAAGTTTTATAAAATATAATCTAAGAGTTACAAGTGTGACAAAAATATATTAGAATTATTCATTATAATTGAATCTCAAAATCTAAAACACGTTAATGGCAGTGTTTAAATTTTTCATTTTGTAAATATAATATAAATAAAATATTTAAAAAATTCTAATTTTTGTTCAAAATTTTTTTAAATTAAATTTATAGTTAAAATGATGGATTACTGGGTTTAACACTTCAAATTTAGGGCAGTAAAAACTCTCACAATTAGTTTTCATACTCAGAGTTAGATTTTTCCCCATTGGATAGTAAACGTAGTGAGATTTATATAAGTACACCATTATAATATTCTTCACAGCAAACAGAAATTGAGTTCTAAACAAATGAAGGCGAGGAACAATAATTCACCCTCATATAAATAGAATGAATTTATATTGGTATACAAACATAACTTTTTTTTTTTAATTTCAAGAAGTCAATTTCTACAAATTTGTTTTTTAACAATTTTACTACATAGTGATGTAGTTTTTAATGGCTCACTTTTATATTCCAAAGAAGAATTACTACATAAATTAACACATTTAATGACTTTTTCAAATATATTTAATCTATCATAAAACCATCTAATTATTTCTACAATTTGACTAAAATGAAACCCATTGAGCATTTTATTATTTGTTACGTAATTAGGAAAGTTTTATAAAATTACTTCATTTTACGTATGTTTATTAAAATTTTTCTTCATTTTAAAAACGAACCTTTTAATGTTTAGTTAGAGTTTGCATGATATAAATCATGTTGAAAACTCCAGATTTAAATCAATTAAGATTTTTAAAAACACATTTAATTTTAATCCACTGAAATTTTGCTTGAAGAATTAAGTTTAAAATATTTCTTTACACAAACTTAATAAATATATTCTATAAGGTGTGATGTTTTTTAATCATCTGATTGATAATGAAAGTTTGTTACAAGTAAATAATAAAACGATAAATTATATTTCAAAACAGACTAAAAAAATTTAAAATGACTAAAAGTAAATAGAAGTGGCATGAAACCTTTAAATTATACATTTTGCGTTGAAGATGTAAAATAATTTGCTTTATGTAAAATAACTTGCTGGTACCAAATATATTTCAATTATATACATTTAAGTTTGCACTTATTTAAATGCAAGCACTTTTAAAATAAATACGTGGAAGTGTAAATCAATAATGAAACAAAAAAGAACTCAAAACACTGAATTTCTTAAAGTAATTAATTTTATCAATAACATTTCCTGATTTAAACAAATTTAGTCCTCATTGGATACCTAATAGACAAATCGCATTTTTATTGAATTTTTCAAAACTCTTCAGATTGCTAAGCACGACAAAAATAACTAGCTATGATTTTATTATTCAGTGACAAATTTGTAATAATTAAATAATTTTAACAACTTTAGTAAGTAATATGAACTTCTTTAGTTACATTTTTATTTAAATTATAATAAGTCAACTGTTTTTGGTCGGCTAATGTGAAAAATAAAAAATACGATTTTAATTTAAAAAAATCAGTCTTAAATAAAATTAATCCGATTTTTTTCCTTAAAAAATCATGATTTTTGCTTACCCTGATGTTTATTGTACTTTCAAAAATGTTTCAAAAGAAATGTTTTACATAATTAATATCAACAGTTTTCTTTATCGTTTATAAATTTACAAATTTCGAAGAACTCAGTCAAAAAATTTGCGTCAGTGCCTGTTCACAGAAACAGGTCAATGGCCAGAAACAAAACATGGTTCCCCAAAAATTTTCACATGAAATGAGAAAAATCAAACTTACTTTATGGTACGAAGCACAGGACCGAGAGCCGGCATGTGAATGCTTGTGAATTGCCCCACCTGGCACATGTATCTGGACATACAATCTGGAGTTAAAGCTGTCAGGACTCTTCCTACCATCCCCTGCAGGGACACCAGACCGGAATTCACAATTCTTGCCGATCTCTTAAAAGTTTTCATTCCATCTTTCACGGCTTCCATACTTGTGTTCTTCAAGACATCAGCCGCTTCTGTTCGGCCGATCATATCTTTCAATATGCCCGTCGCCAAGGAATCGATAAATCCAGACTCAGAAGTTCTGCTGGCTTTGGTTTCGAATTGGAAATCTTTCAGAAGGGGAATTCCCGCCTCTGACAACTGAGAGGGAAAGAACATGACGGACGCTATGTAGCCCAAGTACCCCAAAGTGGCTACACTTAACAGCGGAGTCAAGCTGGGGGATACACTCTTCAATGTCCTGGCTAAGCTTGTGGACACTGAATCAATCGTGGTCATCAGCGGAGATGGAGCCATTTGCTCAACTACATTCACGGATTTTTCCAAATCTTCAGCACTCCACGGTCTCGCTAAAACTCCACTTACAAAAAATAGAATATAAATTACACGGTAAACATCCATGATTAAAAATTGCTAAGAAAAAAAAGCTTTAATGGTAAAATGATTCCTCTTTAACTGAGTGGAGCTTTTTTTGACAAAGTTTTGTTTTAAAATTCTAAAATTTCATGACAAAGACGTTTCATTAAACTGTACGCCACGACACCACAGCAATGCATTAGAAAATAACGATTATGATGAAATACATGATCACAGTTATGATGTATATTATGTTGAATGAAGGAGGTGGCCTACAGAATATATTTCTCGGTTGAGATTCAGAAGGTCACCAGTTCGTGCCCGAAATTCTTTAAGGACGTTAGCAATTAATTGTTTTTTTTTCTCCAATACCAGCCTGGAGAATGACCTAAGTTATACAGGCATCTGATTTGTTGGCCACTCTTTCAGGGACACCATATTAGGTGGGCATACGTTGCTCCCACAGTAAGGAAAGGCAGTGCAGAAAATGAAAGAACATCCACGCCTTGCCCGATATTCGAACCCAGAACCTTTCTGATGCAAGTAGCTATTAATTGTAGAGTTAGAAAAACTGTCGGTCCCGCAGTGAACTGATCGTTAAGCCACGGTTCCCAACAGATCGCTGAAGTCAAGCATCACTGGCTGCGGTCAGTGTGCGGGTGGGTGACCACTTGGATCAGTCTGCGCAAGGCACGAGGGTGCGTGGTATTGGTCATCGTTAAACTGTTCTAACGTAAAGTGCTCGACTTCGCGTGTAGGTCGTCGGGCTGTCATCCCCTCTGCAGAGGATCAAAATTGTGATGGCATGTCTGCGGATCATCCTCAAGGATGTTTCCCAGATCGTCGCCAATAGCCCATTGTGCAGTTCTAGTGCGACATAAATGAACTACAACAACAACTATCGATGAATTCTGGGATACTTTAACATCTTAGAATGCTAAAGAAATTTTAACAAATTCATGAACCGAAGTTGAATATGGTACCATAAGTTTAAAGATCGAATTTAAAATGTATGAATAAATAGATTTTAAGAAAAAAATATTATGTCGAGAATTCTTTACTTGTTTCAAAGAATTTTTGCTCTACAATTATTAAATCATGGGTTGTTTTAAACTGTAGATTTTATCTAAAATGTGACGAGAAATATGACCAATGAGAGTTTTCTTTGTTTTGCAGTGGACTAATCTTAAAGACTCGGCTCCCAGTAAAACACCGAAGTCAAACATCACTAGTGGCTGTCAGTGAGAGGGTGGATGATCATTTTGATCAGCCTGTGAAGGGATCGAAGGTCCACGGTATCGGTCCACTTTAAATTGTTATATCGTAAAGTGCTAGACTTCGTGCGCAAGTCGTCGAGCTATTTAAGAGGAGAAGCTATCCCCTTTGCAGAGGTTCAGAAATTGTAATGGCATGCTTTCGGACTATATTCATATTTGTTTCTCAAACTGTCACCAAATAGTCCATTGTGCAATTCTAGTGAGGCGTAAATAAAGTACTACTTCTACTAATGTTTTCTTCTTTGTTTTTTAATTTAACTTAAAGCTGAACCATATTCGAGTTGCATGAATTTCATTTTCAAATTAGCCCGATTACGAGGATTTTTTAAGAATTGATTTATCTATTGAGTATCAGAAATAGAATATTATTGAAACAAAATAATATTAATTTTACAAAAATACTTCTTCTGAACATTTTATTGTTTTGCCAATACTTCCGCCAAATGCCGTGAATATGGAAGAGAATGGGTTCGAATCGAACCGTAACTTTGGTTGTATCATAATGCTATCTTCTTTTCATTAACGAATTATTAACCTATCTGAAGTCGAAAAACAGAAAGCACAATGATACATCCACGATTACGGTAGGATTCAAACCTCTCCACTCTTCAGAACGTTTGGCAAAAGTGCAAGCACTCTCTCCCATTCGATTTTTATTGCAATATTTTTTTTTTACTTCCATTTATTTTCAATTTATTGTTACAACATGCATTTGCAGGCTTGTGTGCTCAATTAAGGTTTATAAACCTTTGTCAAATAAAAGAACAGATAGCGAAATTCGGAGAAGTACAGCACGAAGATACATATATGGTAACAACGGGATTCGAACCCGCTACCTCCACGCTTTGCATGGCGTTTGGCTGGCGATACCACTTGACCAGGGTGGGACCGCTTCCATTTATTAACTTTATTGAAAATACATACATTAGCAGGCTTGTGTGCTCAATTTAGGCTTATAAACTTTTGTCAAGTAGGAGGACGGATATAACAAATGAGCGAAGGACATCACGAAGAATACAGTGAGGGTAACAGTGGGAATCGAACCTGTTACCTCCACACTTTGCATAGCATTTGGTGGGAGATACCGCTCGGCCACGGAGGCCCCGACTCCCATCTAAAATATTGTCTTCTGTTGTAAAATAATCGTTATCGGTATTGTCAAAAGGTATAATAATGAGTTCAGCCGGAGGCTTTAACTTTTTATTAAGAAACGTCTTTAAAGTGTTTTGATTTTAATCTTGGATATTTTATCACTTATCTCAAAATGAAGTGTTTATACATTTTTGTTGTTTTAACACTCTTTTTAACATTCATCCATGCCGAGGAACCAAAGAAAGAGAAAACGGCACAAGCAAGGCAAATGGAATATATATCATTGATAAACACTCTCTTGCAACAAACTAACGTTCTGACCACTGTGGATGGTGCATTGCTTGCAATTACCACAATGCTGGCCTCTCTAGTGACGAGATTCAAGCCCTTTCTCATTGCAACAGCCCTGTCTTACTTGATATACGTTGCAACTGCAATTTTGATTCCAGCACCCTTGGCGAAAATGGGTCTGCCGACGATGGACGTCCAGAACAAGAAAATGATGGGGAGGTCAGTGGATGGCGGTGAATCTTCGAGCAAACTTTTTGATGGTTTGATGGCGGAAACCCTCCTCAGAAGTATCAAAATCAGTCCCGTAAAAACCATCGTAACGAATGTGTCTGTTAACGTAATTACGGATACCATGGGGAGAATCCGGATGTTCAGTCGTATGTTGGTCCAGCAGCTGTCTTTGTTCCAGCGGAATATGGTCTGGTTTTCAAGATCTCTAAGTAACGAATGCGTCTCTAGATTCCTCTGTAGGGTGGGCCAGTTTACGGAAACTAATTTTCCAACAGCCTCTTCCCTTTTAAGAACTTTAGCGTAAGTAAAACATACTTTGCTATTCCTTAGAGTAAATATGTATTAAATATAGAGTTAATTTTCATACTATCAAATTTGAAATTAAATATTATGCGATTGAGCAGTTTGTTTGAAGAACTAAGCTGAAGAACTATTAGTTACCAAGCAAACATTTCTTAACAAATGTAATTTTCAAATTTTTTAATTAAATGCCATTTTCATAATTAAAAAAATGACGGTGTTTTTTATTTAACGTTTTAACTGCTTATGCAAATAAATTTAATTTTAGTAAACAAAGTTTATTGCAATTTAATAATTAAAATTATTTTGGGAATGTTCTGAAAAATGAAAGTTTCATGGTGTGCAACATTGTCAAAATTAGACATAAGAATTAAAATTCAAAGTTTAACTAATATAAAAATAGCTAATCTGAGAATTTGACAAATTTACTACTATTTATATATAAAGAGTAGATTTTAAATAACTGTGCTTTAATTAGTTTAAATTAAAATTTTTATTTTTCTTCGATGAATTTAAATTTTTTATTTAGGGATACGCCAAATGTGTTGACAGAATATTGTGCAACATATAGCTTTCTTCATAACATTTAAAAATAATCAATTTTAAATTATTTTTAAATGAATTTAAATGCTTAAATATGAAGCCAAACTATCTCTTTTTGTGCTGTAAAGCAAATTAGTGCTGCATGGAATTCTGTTGCCTAAACTTTGGTTCGTTTACTGAGATGTTGTACAACGGAAAAGTCCCTTCCTGTCAAATTCTCTCCTTATACTATATTCGTAATTAAAAATTTAAAGTATAGAAAAAATACTTGGATAAAGTAACAATAAATTACGAGGTTTCAAATGCTGATTTTTTTCTTCAAAATCTCAAATCTCAAACAAATTATTTCATAATCAGCTGCTGTTATAGAGAAGTTAAGCAATCCTGTAATTTGCTGAGCTATTCGAAAATTTGAAAAAAATGTTTTCAGCATTTGACACTTCTTAGCTTACTCTTGGTTTTAATCAGTTAAATGCATTTTAAATTATAAATGCAATTTGAAGAATTGAGAGTTTAAAAGTACCATGGAAGTTTTTCCCCGCAGTATCGAGTCTTCTTAAAAATTTTTAAAATTGTGCCATTTCTGAAACTTTTAAAGCTAATTTCAAACATAGAGCTTAATTTTCTTTGGCAAATAGATGAATTATCATTAGGGAAATTTTGCACAGGTATTTTCTAATGGTTCATATGTATTTCGTACTCTTAAAATTAATCAGTCTCATAGCTAATTTTTCATTTCTTTAGTTTCTAAACAAATCTAACCGTTAATATTTTTTATAACTTAAAAAGAAACATTGTTAGTACTAAATTTAATAGCGTGCTTTTGCAGGATCTTAGATTTAGAAATAAGTATTTTGAGAATTAGGATTTAGAACTAAGATTTTGAAAAGATTTCTTTTTCAAATCTTTGCTGTGAATTTCAAATGGATTTCAGCGCAGATGAGATCTTAATTCCTGCTTGTTGGATGACAAAACTTAATTACTTTTTAGCATTCAGTTTGTATGAATTGTTTGCAATCAATCTTCTATATTAATTTTAAATCTTAACGTTTACAGTGTCTGACAAAGTTTAAATAATCGCAGCGAGACTTATTTTTAAGAGGCATATGCATTCAATGTCCAGATGTTGACGAAATATTTTAGTACTATGAATAAAATGCATAATATTTGACGGATTTTTGAAAAATTAAATTAAAAAATTTAATTAAAAAATATTTTAAAAAATTAAATTTAAAAATTTAAATTTAAGATAGTAATGCTATGTAATTTATTTAAAGTTTTTACTCTAAATAAAATCTTACAAATAGGTTAAATTCAAATGTTTCAGGAAATATTTAAAACCTAATGTTAAAGCAAAGAACTTGCTTTTTTTGCTATATAGAACTAGCGATTGATATGAAATGTTTGCTTGCTTTGGAATTAAGAAATTATTTCAGATAATCTAATTCAAAGTGTTATCAAATTAAAAGAATAAATGCTGCGTAAAATTTTTGATTTTAATCTTAATTGTAACGTTCACGTTTCGCAAAAGGGACAGTTCAAATATTACGTAAGCACCTAATGATTACGTAAGCACGAGAGGCTTTGTGATTTGTTTATTTTAGCTGATACTAGGGAAGAAGTGGTATGTTTAATGCATACACAAAACATTAAATTCTTATTTGCAAAATTTTCTTAAACCGAAATAAAAACGTAACAAAAATTACGCATGGAGTTTAGAGTGGTCATTTTAATTTTAGATATCAGAACATCATGATCTGATTACTGAAATAACATTTTGTACAAACTTCAAATGCTAACATTAGAAAGTATGTTAAGGTTTCAGAAACTAGGCATTTTCTTTCCTTTTGTGCCCAATTAAAATGACCATATTTGTTTTTTTTCAGGGATAATTATCCAGGAATGGATGATTACGCAATTGCTGTTGTCAGAGGTACATCGTCATCAAACTGTTCCTTAATCTATCCAGATTGCACGATGTGATTTGTCTGCTTAGTTTAAGATATCTATTTTGTGGCTAATCAGTCTTTCAGACTCTAAATGCTATAGCCCTTCTGATTCCTTGATGTTAAACATTGTTTAAAAAGTTTACATTATTGCTGTTACTGGAATCTGTAAAATTCTTGTAATTACTTCCTCAAACTGAATTCTTTAGTTTCAGTAATAAAAGTTTAGAACATGTCAGTTTCTGCATAATAATCTTATTTTAAAACTGAATGAATATATGTTTTGTAGGATTGACTAACCACCCTGGGACGTAGTTTTAGTATCGCATATTTAACAAGATGACTCAAGATATCTCAAGAACTTAGTCTTAATATCTTGTCTGTCGATATTTTTTAAATTCAGAAGTAAAGTTAAATTCTTATCGAAATAAGTAGCCTTGTAACTGCACTAAATTTTAAGTCTGATTTCTTATTTTTATTTTATTTAATTTCATTACATTTCGGGTGGAAGAAAAAACAGCTGCTTCAATAAGAATAAAAAGCTAGCATGAATGTAAATTTAGTCATATTAATTTAGTCATGTGTGGGGCAGAACGGCGTAAACTAATCGTGTCACATTTTTTTTTGGTTCTCAATAATATGTGAATTTTGATTTTTTTTCATTGCACAAAATACGCCGTTTTTTAAAATATTTATAAAATGTAAAAATTTTAAAATGCATCAAATTTATTCAGATTGAAAAGATTTTTAAAACATCTAGTAACACCAAATTGTACAGATTCCAAAATTTAATTAAAATGTGAAAAGTTGATATTTTTGTTTTAAAATTTCTTATTCTGTTCTGAAAATTTTATATTTTATACCATACAATTATACGATATAAAATCCTAGTATAATGTTAAGAGTAGTTTACTAAAATGCATTTTTGAGGATCTAAAAACCAAAAATGTCAAGAAATTTATTCAGAGTAAGTGAGTTTTTCTGATTCCGTAACTTAAATTATCGTTTGCACTGATTAGTTAATATATTTAGGTCAGATAATTGGAACCATTAAAGCTGAGTTTTAGTACGTGAAAATGCGATCCTTGGATAAAGTTGTTAAGGTGATTACTTTTTCAGCACTGTACGTTTAAGTCAATTTATTGAAAGCATTTTTCAAATTTAAAAAAATTTCAAAATGGCAGCTTTTAATTCTAAGTTGCCAATTTTTTGTGCTATCCGTATCTCCGGAGTTAGTCAAAGTACGGTATAATTTTTTTACAGCACAAAAATAGTTATTTAATGTGTGTTTCGAGAGTTAGAATATCTGTTCTTTAGCATCATTAATATATTTCTCGTGTAGCAATATTTCCTTACGATAATGACAAATTTTGAAAATACACATCGAAAGGACTACTTTCGTTATGCGCCTGAAAATGATGTTAACTCTCACGTTGGCCACATCATTCAATACCCAACTATTAGTTCACACTTTCCCAATATCTTGGTTCAAATTTTCAATCGTTAATAAAATACTTTTTATTCATCCTCTCAATATCAAATACATTTTTTTAAATTTGTAGTGGATGACATTTGATGTTAATACAGTTTTTTAGAGATTAATTCATTAATTGATTAGGGATGAACGAAGAACGATATGGAATTTTCTGATCGGTTAAGCGTTAGTCATTGTTTTAAATTTTACTATAAACTATTCAGTTTTCCCATATTTTAAGGATAACATCAGTGATGATTTCTAACTTATAGTTCTATTCGAACAAAATATGATTTTTTGAGCGGATTTAAATATTTATTTTATATTAGCTGTGTCTTATAAAGAACATTACGTGGTAGCACGTGTGGTCTCAGTCACCAAATTTATACTTTTATAATTGCCTGTTACCACACGCCTTTTTTTTTTCCCTCAAGCACCCAGATTTTAGAAAATTAAAAGGTTTTTGGAATTATATTTGGAAGGGTTATGCGTTAGTATTCCTTCAGTTCTTACATAGTCAATAAGCTTACAATTTTGCATACAGCTCGAGTTACGCGCTTTTGGAAATGAATTTAGCTCAAAATGTGCGTTCGAAGCATGAACATGTGCGTGATTGAAAAAATAGACATAGCTCACGATAAGCGTTTAAGAGAATAAACGATATTATGTGAATCCGTCTTTTACATTATTTTGACTTATGAATTTAAAAAGAAAAAAAATGTGATAATGTTTAGTCGTAGTATTTAGAAAAACTGAAATAATTTTCGTATTGTTTTTGTACTCTCATTTTCTAAAAGTTGCATGAAATGAAGAAAAAATGAAGAGTGTCAAATATTTGGGTTCGGTTTTATTTAACACCGGAAGGAGCTTAGCTACGCCTGAGTATATATATATATGTGTATATGTGTGTATATATGTGTATATATATGTATATATATGCATATAAAGCAATTAAATGATTCTTGTATTTTTCGTTTTTTGCAATTTTTGAGAATTATCACGAACTGAAATAGTAATGTCACTCATATAGTAAAAATTTTATTTATAAACTGGTATGTACCTTTAAAACTTTTCAGTAATCGAATCATGAAACTAAAAAACAAACGAACTCAGACAAAATAAATAGTATTTGTAAGCAATTTTAATCTAAACTGCAGTTGATAAAATACAATTCCTTGAGATTTTCATACTTAGGTTAATATTAAGGAATTAGTTCTCAGAATGAACTTATTGCAAAGATTAAATCTCAGTGTCTTAATCTTACTCTAAACATGATTTCATATATTCAAAACAGCTAAATAGCAATTAAATTAATTTTGATAGTGTTTTTCTTGTTGTAGTTTAATATTGTATATTTTTAAATTTTTTCTATCCATTTTTTAAACTTTATGCTTTTATTTTATATCTCTCTTTGTTGAAAAACGTATGGTAAGCCAATATAGTTGTCAAAAATTTCATAATCAAAAACAATTTTAGTTTCAAAACTTATTGAAAATATTATGTACCAAAATAGTCGTACCACATAAAAATTGCAATTTGGTATCAAGCGTTTTTGATACCAAATTGTTCATTTTATCACTAAACTCACCAAAAAGTTTGTATTCAACAGTAATACAACATTATTTTTAATAAAAAATATTGGCTTTTGCTGCTTGTAGACTTTTTAGTAAGCCTACTTAGTAACCAAAAAGTTCATATCTTAGCTGAACTTGCCAAAAGGATTGTATGCCATAGTAATACTACATTATTTTCACATAAAATTATTACTAGTACATTTTGTATCATCAGCTATAACAGCCTTATTAAAAGCTGAATAAAATATGCCTGATTTTAATTTTAAAGTGGCTTGATTTAGATGTTTACTTCACAAGCGTATGCCGTGGCTCAAAAATTAAATTATAAGACAAAAAATTTCGTCACCTTTTTATTTTATACCTTATCCTGTTTGGTGATGAATTTATCGCATTTCTTAATGAATTAGATGTTTATGTCTTTTAATCAAATTTTACTAAAAAATGTACATGATTTTTATTTAAATTAAAATGAAGTAAGAGATTTAATTCGTAGATCAAATGTCATTCGGAAAAATATATAAATATATTTAGATTGAACAAATATTTAAATTAATAGATATTAAATTAGTATTTAAGTCAATTACTAATTTAATATCTATTAAAAGCTTTACTATTCCACTTTTTCAAAAATATTTCATACAACTAAATGCAATTAACCATTTCACAAATCTTACCCAATTAGGATTTTAGGACATTATCTAACACTAATGATGACTAAAAACTGGGTATGATTTTACGCAAATTATTGTAGGAGGCAATTATAATACATTTATTTTATCCACATTGCAGCATATAACTTCAGTTTTAACTAAAACTAAAAAAAAATATAGGTATAAGAAAAATTCGAGTTTTTTCCCTATCATCTAACATTACATCTAACATTACAAATGGGGTAAAAACTTAGTTTATAGAGAATTAACAATTTTGTGCTCATGCTAGCCAGTTGTAATTAAATATTTCTTTCGGCTATTTTAAAATATCACCTGATTCTTTTTGACTAATGAGAATATTGTAAAATCACATCATTTACCTAGACCAATGAAAATATTGAAAACCAATCACATGATTAAATTCTTTTCGATATAATTTTCTGAAATATCGTTCTTTTCAACTTGAGACACTGCCATTGAAACTTTACAAGTTTTATTGTGACTCAAAGTTATTTAAAAATTGCTTTTTCAACGATGGTTTTCAACACTCTGTACATTGTTTTCATGCTTTCTTACTCTCTCCTCAGTTTAAAGTATTCATCTTTTTGTGACGACGATTTGGTCTTTCAGCTGAAACGCTTTTATAATCTCTTCTTCTGGATTTACGTTTTTACTAGGTACTCTTGGAAGTTGAATGGTTTTAAACCTGAGATGGACTTATTTCAAAGGTTGAATTTGATCTTTTACCACTTGAAGGTTTTTTACTGGTTTCTTCACCTTGTTTACAAAGTCTACTCAGTTTCCTGTTTTTGGGACATTTTAATGTCCTTTTATGAACTCTACACTGCTCTGGATTTCTGTTCCTACTTTGTTCCTTAGATATTCTTGTTCAAAGTGTATTTATTATAATCAATTCGTTTTTCGATGGTTCAATATCATTCCTATCAAATTCTTAAAAATATTTCCTTCCTATAAGAATATTTTGAATCGTATATTGGCTTTTGCCGATCTATTAGATTTCTTTATTTGAAAGTTGGTAAACTTATAAGCAATTAAATTAATCTTGAATTTTCATTTTCCTAATTTCTCCTTCAGAATAATTTTTTTCTTCCAGCTAGTACAAAATCTATTCACAAATCATAGGTCCAATTTGGATTCTTTAAAATCATTCTGTAACCGAATTTCATTTCGACTAAATTCTAAACTATTTTGAATCCTTCATTAGTCGTTGCCAATAAATTGGATTAGTTCATTTTAACGTTTATAAGCTATCAAGCAATTAAATGAATCTTGTATTTTTCGTTTTTTGCAATTTTCCAAACAGAACAGATTTTTTCATTTCTAAGATTTTGAAAACTAGTGTTTTTGCTGATTGTGTATGCTTAATAAGTACTTTCTTTTTAGGTAATAAACTAAAATGAGAAATATCATGAATTGGAATAGTAAAGTCACTCATATATTGTAAACATTTTGTTTATAAACTGGTATGTACCTTTAAAACTTTTCAATAAGCGAGTAACGATATTAAAAACAAACAAGT